GGGGGTGTTGGTTTAAACCAAATACTGAAAGTAAAGGTTCACAAACTTTTACCACTCACAAATATGCAACATTGGATCATTTTCCTCAATAAATAAACGAGCAAGTATAATATTTTTGTCTCATTTGTTTAACTGGATTTTTATCTACTTTTAGGACTTGTGTGAAAATCTGATGATGTTTTAGGTCAGATTTATACAGAAATATGGAAAATTATAAAGAGTTCACAAACTTCCAAGCACCACTATAACACACTCTGATCTCTGCACATTATATAAAAGATCTTTGCTTCAAACTTTGGCATTAATCGTTTAAGATCAAAAAGGTTTTAACTTTCATTTCTCAATGTGAGATAATGTTTTCAACTCTGGCATGAAAGGTAGCGGGCGATATGCATTCATTAATCTAATGCTAGAACTTTATTTACAGATGTGTTGACTTTTGTGTAAATAAATACCAGCTCTCTGTATTTAAGTAGGAATAAAAGTTTTTTGTGGATTGCACACATGACGGGTGATTAATAGTGAAATTACGCAAACATCATGAAAGTTCAGTAAACAAAAACGTGAGGTTTTTGCTCGACAGCGACAGGTTGTGTGAGACTGTGTGTGGACCAACCCGTGATGTCCAGGAGCTTATGGGATGTCTCCAATGCATCAAACTGACTTCTTTTCAGATAGAAATGAGCAAACTCCTGAAACAAAGAGTCAACACAATCAGACAACTGGACACAACACGCAGGTACGAAATGAAAAGTGGTATATTTGTAAATGTTGAAAAACTATCTTTTGCAGCTACAAAAAAAAAAATAATAATAATAATTATCAGCAAAAACATAAGAATGCAGTTCTTCCCTGACTGAACAGCTGAACAACGTTCAGGCTGTCGGACGACATGTTTTGCTGGTTTCACACACCAGCAGCCTGCGGTCCACTCACCAGGTGTGGCAGCAGCAGGTAGCAGAGCAGAGTCCCCAGCGTGGCCACACACGGCGTGATGAAGTATCCCAGTGCAGCGGAGTGTCTATCAGGTTTACCTGCAACAACCACCGCTGCCTTAGTGACATGTCTGTTCTGAAGCAGCGTCACACTGATGTTCAGTCTCTTCTCTGCCCTCATGAACAAACAGCAGCCGTCGTCTCTGCTTTTCCACCTGATCGTCATTAAACTTCCATTAAACCTTTAATCAGTGACCATTCTGATGTTTCAACTAGGCCTGTCACGATAACAAATTTTACTGGGCGATTAATTGTCTCAAAATATTTTGATAAACGATAACGTTGTTTGAAATTTAACATTAGTAAAGTCAAATTTAAGAAGAAATGTTGGTTAATTTTTTGTGTAGTGCCTTTTTTCAACACTGGATGGCAGTGTAAGACTGTTTGAACTGAAGGATGGATAGTGAAGGAACGAGCAGCGTGTCTCTAAGAAAAATGGGAGGGAGGCCCCTTGACATGACATGGGCTGTCTCTCGTTCCCGTTTTTTGGTTCTCAAAACGGCGAACGTTCAGTGTGGTTTGAGTCCTTTAGCATAGCATTTGTCACACAAAGCTTTTAATAAAAAAATCAGTAAAGTTCTCAGCTTCTTTCAGCAGGAAAAAAAAACTTTTTACACAAAGGCACGGGCTTCAATCGTGAATTTTGGAGCTTCGACAAGACGGAGTTTTTTTTACTGAAGTCAGCCTGTTAGCTTAGCTTCTCAGCTTAGCTGCTTTTAACAATCCAAAAACGTGATTTTGGACGGTTACAACAGATTTTAAAGAGAAAATGGAAAGGGATGAGTCAGTGAAGAGCACCGGAGTTGAGCTTTTTGTCATCCAGTGTCTTCAGTAGAAAGAGACACACCAAGAAACGATAAAACCGATAAATGAAAATGAGGTCAATAATTTTCATTTATCATGCGACTGATTGATTTATTGTTTATTGCGACAGGCCTAGTTTCAACCTGAGTTACTGCGGTTTTTAAATAAAGCTTTAGCTAATTGTTTACAAAGTACAATGCTTTGTCTTTACTCATAAACCGTTCATGGCTTACTGCGTTAATAATGTGATTTTTGGAAGAAAAACAAAAAGATAATAGCAAATTAATCCTAAAGTGTTTAATTTAACTTTAACTCAACTTTACCCATCTGCAGCATGCTGCTTGACTGCTTCATAATTACACATTTATAATAAAACTTTATTGTCACTGGAAATGTTATCCATTAACATTTTCATCATTATATGAAAATTATGATGTGGTACAAGTACTTTTACATAATTTAAAACTAGTGACTCTCAGCAGCATCATTGTTGGAGTGTGTGTGTGTGTGTGTGTGTGTGTGGTGGGGGGATGGGGCTTGAGTACGGTACTTACTTAAAATGGAGCAGAGCATGGCGACAGCAGCAAAGATCCCAGCCAGACCCTGACCACTCATAAACAGAGTGCTGTAACGAGGAGGAAACAGACCCACCACACCGAACAGACTGCCCTGCAGAACGGCACTAAACACTGCACACACACACGCACACACACATCAAGGTAATTACATCAGAAGTGCCATGGAATGATCATGGTAGTAAACAAATCAATTCATTCATTCGACCTTTATTTAGACAGGTTAATCCCATTGAGCCTCGAGGACTCATTTACAAGAGAGACCTGATTTAACAAAGAATGATGACAACGATGGACAATTATAAAAAGGCGTACAGATGTTTTTGTTGCTCAGAGCTTCCTGAATGAGTCTGGTTAAAGTGTAGCCCACCCAGATGGTTTGGAATCAGACCAGAAGAATCCATCCAGAGGGCATGACTTAACCTTGTTACATCATTTAGACCTTTTTTATTAAACCTTTTTGAAGGAGGAGTGGGGGTGCAGAGATTAGAGGAGGTAAGATTGTGATCAGAAGGTCGATGGTTCGACAACATCTAGATGTGGGTGAGAAAGGTGAAGCACCCACACCTGCCTCCATCCTCATTTGCCCCACTCTGGGCTCTTGAGCAAGGCACTTAACCCCCACCATCTGCTCCCCCGGGTGCCCTGGATGGCAGCTCTCTGCTCCAAACGGAGGCTGTGGGAGCTCGGTGGTTGTGTCGGGAAGGACATCCAGAGTAAAAATAATCACCAAGTCTTCGTGCGCGTTAGTTTACTGTGGCGATCCCTAAAGAAGGGAGCAGCTGAAATAAATAAAATAAAATAAAAATTATGCTTTTTGAGTTGATTCTCATTCCTTATTACTTTACACTGAAGCTCAGCTTCGGTCACAAATCCCCGACACTTGTGTCCCCCCACTCCTCCCTGCCTGCTCGCTCTTCACTTCTCTTGTCTGTTACTTTGGATTGTTGACCCCAGGCACTTGAATTCAGTGGCGGGCACGGTTCCGCTAATCCACTAATAGTGGAACTAACTTTATGATTAGCGGATTAGCGTTTTCGCTAACTTTGAAACGAATCAGCTTCTGCTAAATTTAAATCTGTTAAATGCAAGTCCACTATTTAAAAAAAGGAGACTGGTGATTTCATAGATGGAGCGATGCAATGCTATGCAGAGTTAAGTGCCATCCGGTGATGTCACCACCCTCATAGTGCTTTTGTGACTCCATCCCCCCGACGAGCACTCCACCAAGGGAACGGATCTAGGGGAAACAATTCCTACCCAGCATGCTTTGCAACGCTCACACCGTCTCTGGGACGTGACTCTCTCACACGTTTCACATATCTTTACTTTAATACAAATTAGGGGTTCAGAAAAAAATCGATTCATTAAATAATCTAGCTTCATAGTCCTGGCGATTCTGAATAGATCCTAAAAGCTCCAAAATCTATTTTAAAATACGTTTAAGTTTTATTTTTTTCCGCTTCTACTCTCGAGTGTACTGCATATCACATTACGTGTCCACCCGTCACCGTAGAATTGGGCCGTGTAGGCCACCGTACAGCAAGCTAGTTAGCCAGCTCCCTTTATCTGAATGGAGTCTGCTAGCGTGGAACGGGAGGACAGCGTGATTCAACCCGCTCCTTCGTCTTTAAAAACCATTTCAGATCCTACAATGTTCTGGGGAAAGACGGACGGTTGTTTGTAAGAAGTGTAAAATAAAAACGTGTTGCAGTATTTTGGAAATACGGAAAAATGTGCGGAAGATGAAAAGCGAAAGCAGCAGACCAGAAAGAGTTCCCTCTCCATCTCCTGTTATATCACTAAGGATTTACGAGCAGACAGCTCAGTGGAAGGTGAGGGGTTTAGGTTTATTTTTAATACGCTGGACCCAACGTACGCTATTCCTTCACGTAGCTTTTTTAGTGATAAAGCTGCGTGAAACTCTACCATGAAACAAAAATAAAGTGGGAAACGCTCTGATTAATGCACCAGCTGCAGCTCAAAGGCAAGTGTTATTTTTCATATTATACTAAAACTTATATAGACAAGTTATACAACAAACTTTATGCAATTTGTCTTTTGAACAGGTTGAAGAGAGGACAGGTGAGACACATCGCCTGGAGCCAGTTCTAAATGATACAATTTATGATTTATAAATTACAGTTCAGAAGAGATTTTGTGCAGACTTGCAAAGTTTTGAAATGTTAAAGATTTACTAAATATGAATCAATATGGTTAAGACTGTGAAGTCTGTGTATTTCAAAGTAGTTTAAGTTTTGAAAATATATCAAATGTTAGAGCAATACGATTAAAAAAAACTGTGAAGTCTGTATTTAATTTGGAGTTATAGGTTAATGTACTATGGTAGGCTGAAGTCTGTTCACTTTTGTATTTATATATTTTGAATTATTTGTCTGTGATGGACTGAGACCTGTCCAGGTGTCCCCCGCCTCTCGCACAGTGATGGCTGGACATGGACACCAGTGACCCCCGTGACCCAAAATGGAACAAACGGGTAAAGATAATGGATGGATGGATCAGTCATTCCTACACTTTTTTATTTTATTATTTTATAAAAAGCCAGGCTGCTACTGGTAATTGAACTTACAGAACTTTATGTACTCCTATTTTTGGTATGAATATGAAATTATGCAAAAAGATTTGACACAGTAAAGAACCTAAAATTATTGTTTTAAATAAATGTTCTATTTGTTTACATTGTTGTTTAATCTTTTCATCTTGTCAGTTACATAACCGAAACAAAATTTATGACCATTTCAATAGAAAAATCGTTTCGGAATCGAATCGTGACGACAAAAATCGGAATCGAATCGCCAGACATTGAGAGATTCGCACACCTAAGAATGTTGGTGATGAACAGCAAGTTTGTAGTTAGTTTATAAAAGTAGTTCACCTTAAAGAGGATCACCAAAATGAGTTCATTCATTATAGAAAATGACACGAGGGAGACGCCCGACACACACTGAACGCATCACTCTGCTTCAGCACAGCAGAGTTCTGCTCCTCATCTTTGGTTCAGGTGGACCAGATTAGATTCTGAAAGCTCACCTCTGAACGGGACATGGACGATTTACCTGTGATTTATGGACCGTTCAGAGTTGTGTTCACTGACACTGTTGTCACATTAGTGTCAGCGACAGCAGAATATGAGAAAAGTTAGGGCTTTAGCATTAGAAAAGCTATTTTTTTTAGTTAACAAATTAATGTCCCCCATCCCCTGGATTGTCCTCTGTGGACATTGAGCTCTCCTGTGCCTCCACACCTTCCTACCACTCGTCTGCCTCCTGCCTGAAACCTTTGTTCAGACGTGCGCCTTCTTCGCTCTGGAACCATTGGGTCAGCTCTCCCCACAACTGACTCCTACCTCTACTGGTTCCAGCTCCCTCCCTGGCACATTTCATGATTTTTCCACCTTGTAAATAAACACTGTAAACATACTGAGTCTTGGTATCGGGCAGTCGTTACAATCACCACCATCTGCAGAGCACCAAGTACAGTTTAGAAGATGACATACACGTCACATGTTTTACAAAGATTGGAGTGTGTCTCATTTAGAGTACTGTATTTTTCATCGTAAACGTTGCACCGCCCTATAAGTCGCTTATATACGTCGCTTCGCCGTACAAGTCGCATCTATTACGCGTCACCACTGACAACCCGGAAATGTGTTGTGCCCAAAACCGATTGGCAGCCAAATAGCGGCCGCGGGAGCGTGCGGTTAACACTTAAATGCGCAGAAACGTGAACGTGTAGTAGGCGATTCGCTGTGTATTTCTTTTAAATTTCACAAGATAACCACCTAAAAACAATTATTTGTTTGCTCAACATTATAGCAAAGGCGTGTCTCAGTTGAACTTTTACTTTATAAATGCACTTCAATAGTCAAATTAGCTGCATTTTGCCGGGGCGGCGCAGAGAAATGAAGCTGATTGGACGGTTGCTCCAGGCAGATGACGGTGGCAGGTTATGGCAAGCCGATTGTGTCAATAATAGCCACTTTTACATGATACAACGGCATGCCATACTACTCGACTGCCATCTAGTGGCCGAAAGTGGCAGTGTTCAATATTTTCAGTCAGAATGAATGAAAACGGTCATATCTCAGTCAAAAATTGGTTTATAAATATGAAAAAAATCCATAAATGTCGCTTCAGCGTACAAGTCGCAGGGCATGTAAATTATTAAAAAAACTGCGACTTCTACAGCAAAAAATACAGTATATGCATATTTGTAGCCAATTTAAATGTTCTGTGAGGAAACAATGAAATATGAAGCTAGCAGTCTGCAAGATACGTGGCAGAATGAAATGAAGTCAACAGAAAATGTAAACACAGAGGCAGTAAAATCCTGGATGACAGCAGTCTGACATTAGTGAGCTGGATTAACTGTTTACATTTGTCCATGTTTCACCAAAGAGAAGATTCACATCAAACTTCACCTAATTTGTCAGAAGAATTTGAGAAGGTTGATACACGGGAACTTACTGTTGATGAACCAAATGGTTGCCATGGTGACCGAAAAGAAGGTGTCCGGCTGCATCTCGACCTTGACCAGCCCAGCGGTGAGGGAAAAAAGGAGTAAGATGATGATCATGCTGAAGGCCACCCGGATACGCTCCTTCACCCTGCAGAGAGCATCATCATCATCATTTAGTGAGCCATGGTTTGAAGTTGAGCTTTTTTCCTAACACGTTTCAGCTCTCACCTCTGATACAGGAAAGAGTTGAGCAGAGAGAAGAGGAGCTGGGGCAGCTGGGAGAGCAAAGCCATCCAGCTGTCATAGTTGTATTCTTTCAACGCAACGCCTGATGTGCTGTTAGTGACGGCGTTTGATTCTTTGAGGCGGTCGTTGAAATACTTTGGAGAGAAAGAGTCCTTATCGCTCAACAGATTTGCATAAAGACAACACCGATAAGGCATAAAAATGAGAATAAATAAATAATACCTTGGAGGCTGTAATGAAGAAGTTCCAGGGAAGCAGGGTTCCAACACCGAGAACAAAAATGATAACAGCTACAGCTTGACCCCTGAGGAAACAGAAACAAAGCTTTCAGCAAGAGGAAGATTTCAACTATTGATTGACACAACTGTAAAAGATTCTAGACTCACTGGTCAGAGGGAGGACTTGGTTTCTTTTGGCTCCACATTTTGCAGCTTATGTTTCCTGTATTAAACAAGACCCATAAGTAAGCTACACTTTCACATTATCCGTCACTTTATTAAAGATGTCCGTCCAATGTCATGCAGGCAGGACAAAATAGTTTCAGTGCATACTGGAGCTAGCTCTAAAACGGACACCGAATCATTCTCTATTGAAGAACACAGAACCCACATCAGAATACAAACTAGAAAATAAAAGGTCACCCCTCGCTGGTCATTAGAAAAATTTAAAATGTTCACTTTGGAGAGCTATCCATCACCTATACCCACTTCTTCCTTTTTGGGTCATGGGGTCACTGGTGCCCATATCCAGCAGTTACTGTGTGAGAGGCGAGGGACACCCTGGACAGGTCGCAAGTCCATCACAGGGACACATAGAAACAAACGAGACAAACAACCATTCATTCTCTCTCATCTGGGGACAATTTAGAGTTATCAATCAGCCTAACATGCATGTTTTTGGTCTGTGGGAGGAAACTGGAGTACCTGGAGAAAACCCACACAGCATGGAGAGAACATGCAAACTCCACCCAGAAAGGTCCCCGGCCGGGATTTGATTCGGCAACCTTCATGCCGAATCAAATCAACCTTCTGTTGATATGACCTGCACATGTCCAGTCGGATTATAATTAATGATTCATATAGTGTGTAATAGGAACCATATTTAAATTAGGGATGCACAATATTATCGGCATGGTATCTAGGGCTGAAACGATTCCTCGAATCATTCGAGGACCTCGATTACAAAAAATCCCTGAGGCAAATTTATCTGCCTCGAAGCTTCGTTAAACTATTCAGAGCACTGTGGTCTAGCCGGAAGGTTTTGTGTTACACAACGCTAGCGCTTCCGCTAACACTTCCGCTGACGCGTATGTGCCAAGTTTGTAGCAATGGAGGGAGCGGAGACTGCGTAGAAGAAGAGCCCCGAAAATAAAAAAAACTGTCAAAAGTTTGGGAACACTTTAGGCTAAACAGAAAAGACAACACAGCTCAATGCTTCCACTGCAAAGCAGAACTGGAGTCACCACAACAGCACGTCGTCCATGTTGCAGCGTCTGAAGACAAAACACCCGATGTAGCATCAAACTCGTCCGCAGCTCTAACAGGTATCGTGTTCCCTCTTTGCAAAAGACGTTCACCTAAATGTGTGATAATCTGTCATGTTATAGATGTAAAATGAGGCTTATTTTTGCTAATGTTAAATCTACTGACTAATCATTGTGGCTGCCTGGCAGAGTCTGTACGAAGTGTGAGGAAAAAAACTGCAGGACTTGATGCAAGTTTAACGATAAAAGCAGCAACAGACTGACACATGTAGTTATTGCTGTACTTCCATCCTGACTTAAATTACATATTTAGGGTTCAGGTTTCTCAATGAACACTAATTTCAATACTGTTACTTTAATGTCTTAATGTCTTGTGTATATATGTATGCGTATGTGTAAATGTGTGTGTATATGTACACATCTACTGACTGTGAAACTAATTGCCCCTCGGGGATAATAAAGATACTTGAATATTTCAAGTGTAAGTGTATTTACATGAGTTAGTAGGATTTTTTTCTTCTTGCTACTGTTTATGACTTAAACTGGGATTAATCTGCATTTATTACTACTGTCATATTTATTTATAGCTCAGCAATCAAGACTAAATAATAATACAGTCTGCAGAACTCAATGTACAAACTCAAACTGTACATTATCCATCTTACTCAGTTTCTAACATAAAGATTTCATTCAGTTTTCCAATCCATAAAAATTATTTACAGCATTTAGATTTTTATGTGATGGTTAAAAATAATTCAGTGACAGAGGGTTTTAATTAAAGCATCCTCAAACCTCACACATAAATAAAAGCTTAAAATGCATTTATATCAAATACAACTGACTAATGTTACTTTGATTACAGCAGGTCATCAGAAAGTCTAGATTACTTAACAATATTACATAATTTTATAATATCCAGTGAAGTAAACTGGAAAATTTATTAAGGCATAACAAACAAACAAATGATAATTTTCTTCTTCTTCTTCTTTTCAGTAAATGCAGAGTCATACGTTGGACAGCTTCGTACAAACGGCTCCAGGATGTTGGTTGTGCAGCGGCTGAGTTCACAAACAGCATTTTAAATGTGATCATCACAGACATGCAGCCGCTGTCCGTGGTGGAAGATGAAGGATCCAGAAGATCATCTCCACCTTCAATCCAAATCATGTCCTTCCTTCCAGATCCTACTTTGTAAATTCCATTCAGTTTTCCAATCCATACAAATTATTTTACAGCATTTATTTTTATGTGATGTTTGAAAATAATTCAACTTAAGCAATAAAATGTTTTAAAAAGAGGAATTAAATGGGTTGTTTTATTTAATGTTCTTTTTTTCGTGTATTTGTATCACTCTAGTTACTGCAGAACCTGACAAATTATGTTTTCGATTACCTGATTAATCGCCAGAACAATCTATAGATTACTCGATTACTAAAATATTTGTTTACAACAGCCCTAAGGCCGATATTAACGTTAAAAATTCAATATCGGACATTCCATCAAATCAAATAGCCGATATAAAAGGCGCTGTTTTTGCCTGCAGCGACAGCACAACGTGATGACGTTGCAGCGGAGAGGAAAATTCAAAATGTCGGTGGTGTGGAAGTTTTATTTTTTGTTGGTGAGGATGTCGGATTCCCAAGATTTATGGACTACGTCTCTACATTGTCCCCAGTCGGAGATATTTTTCTGACGTAACGTTACCCGAGTTACAAGTCGTCATTTCCGATGTCATTGAGAAGCTAACAGCTGATAGCACGACTTGTTGGGTGAGTTTTACCACAGACATTTGGATGTCAAGTGTTAGCCCCGTTAGCATGATTAGTCTTACGGCACAATGGATGGACAAAAACTTTGAACTTAAAAAGGCTGTCCTTCATGCACAGGAGTGCAGAGGATCCCACACTGCAGCTATAGGAACCTGGAACAAGAAATGAGACAGCATCACAGGTGACTAATGCTAATAAATAACATTTAACACTTTTCATTTAATATAAGTTAAAGTGCTTTGCATATCATATGGCTGTTACTGAATATATGTCACTAGCTCTTTCAGCTGTTGCACAATTTTTGTAGCAAATAATCCTAAATAAGAGTTCTGACTAGGGCTGTATACCGAACTGAGGTTCTTTTATGGCACCGACCGAACGGCGTCAATCGGTGTATGGATTGAAACGTCACTCTTTTTTCGGTGTCAAGTTTCGGTATTGGATGTAACGTGTCACGTGGTTTCAGCACGCCGGCAGGTAAAACGCAGACATATGACAAACAGACTACATGATTACACCTAGAGCTGCCCTACAGCTTGTATGTATATGGTGCTGGTTACGCCCACAGACGGGGTTCACGTGTGCAGCGCGTGTGTTGTCGAACAGCTTCGACAACACACGCAACTTTCTGCTTACGAGCAGAAAAAGTTGCTCCGTGTTTTTCTGCAAGGAGAGAGAAGGACAGCAGCCTCCCCTCCTCCTCTCAGCATTAAAGTCAGCCTGTGAGTGTGAGAGAGCATGAACAGCCTGAATCAACTTTCTACGACCGGACTCCTCTTCATCAAAGAACTCCAAGGACAGCTTTGTGTCTGGGATTTCAGCTGGTAAGTTTATGTTTGTTAACGTTACTGCAGCTTAATACATACATCGCAGTGAATTGAACTAGAATCCATGAAATGCTAACTTTGAGATATTAGTGTGTAAAATGTATTTTATTTATGTAGCTAGCTAAACTCAGAAGCTAACTAAAGATACCATACCACTTTATTTATAGAGCACTTAAAACAGCGACAAGGCCAACCAAAGTGCTGTACAGACAAAACAAGATTGACAGTAACAGATGAAGCTTGGCTTGTAAAAATGTGCTCATCCATCGGATCAGCTGCTTAAAAAGTTCAGATAATCTTCACCGTTTGTTTATGTTTTCCTCACAGGAGCCTCTGACCCTGATGTGAGGACAGAGAGACAAAAGAAAAACAAGGTGGGGCCACAGGACAGTCAGAAACTTTGTTGTTAAAAGTTTGCTGCCTTTTTCTACAGTGGAGGCTTCATGGTGGAGGTAAGTAAACTTTAAAGGATAATGTTGACCAGTTAAACTTTTATTTCTCAGCTCAGATAATGTTTTTTATCAATAATAACACAAACGTTATTGTTGATGTTTTGTTCTCATGTCAATTAGGGAGATGATCAGAGCCCTAAACCCCAGAGAATCACAGAGAAGATTCAGGCAGAGACACAGAGGTGCAGAAGTCTGCATCAACTCTACCTCAGTGAATCCAGTGACCTGCTGGTGGAATGTGAGGGACAATATGTCAGTGCTATCAAACTGACAACCAGGTATCTGTGCGTGCAACAAGCATCATCTATAGCTGGTGTGCCCAACCAGTCGCTCGCGGGCGACCGGTCACCCGCGAGCTGGTTCCCAGTCGCCCGCGAAGCGAAACCTTGACTTGTATTCTCACAGACAGAGTCTCGCGAGTTTTGGGTGCGGTGACACAGCGCTCTCACGAGACTTGAGGCTCAGTAGTGGAGTAATGTCGGTGCGCAGAAAACATGGATGGAAAACTAGCGAACAAGCAAACGAAAACTTATTATTTTCACACAGAGTGGGAGGAGGAGTATTTTTTTGTTTATTCTAATTCGAAGTCCATTTGCCTCATCTGTAATTCGAGCGTTGCCTTACCCAAAAAGTGTAACTTGGAGCGGCATTTCAAGACGATGCACAAACGGTTTGAGACAGATTTCCCTCTTAAAAGTTCTTTACGGACTCAGAAAGTGCGGGAGCTAAAAAACAAGCTTGCAGCCCAGCAATCAGTCTTCACTCGGCCCAGCACAAAAGGTAAAGCTGCTACGATAGCTTCCTACCGTGTTAGCCGCATCCTGGCTCAACATAAGAAGTCTTTCAGCGATGGACAAGTTATGAAAGAAGCGTTTATTGAGGCTGCAGATGCG